CCACTCTCACATTGTCTGCAAGGACATTTTCTAGTTATCTCTTAATGTTGTTATCACAGCAGGTAGTTTAACGCAATGCACCTACTGACAGGAGCCAATGATATTGAGCCAAATCACATATTTGCCAGGTTGCCGACACTGACACAGCACTCCCCTCACAAGACATGGAAAAGTGAACGTTTAGTGTCTCATCCCAGACGTGCATTCTGCAAAACCTTCTGGTTGAATGATCCTGAAGAAACACTCTCTCCTCCTGCCTGTACTACTGTGTATGTACGGCAGAGGAAAGGCTTCCCAACCCAGAGACTGTTTGAAATCGTCTTTATCGTCTCAGAGCTTTTCTTAGTATCAGGGTTTCGGCTCTAGACATGATCTCATATTGTAAACATACACCCATTATCTCATGGTCGTGGGAGTCTATCCCAGCTGACTCAGGGTGAAGGCAGGTTCACCTGGACAGGTAACCAGTCTACCCCATTGTGGCATGCAACTTTGTTTTTTCAAAACTTTCAAACTTGCTGGCAGGTTTTGTGGGTTGAGGTGATGTTGAATGAACGTTCTCTCCTGTCACTCAGACATGTTGGACGGACGCAGCCTCGCGGTTACTTCAGGGACCGTCAGACTTCAGGATTAAAGAGTCACAGACCAGGTGTGTAGCCTCTTATTCTTCTATTCATCGTTACACAAACAGACTCTTGGACACGTGACAATATTCAGCACAGAGACTCGTCCACACTTCGGCTGTAAATCAGGCAGAAACAACATGTACAGGTTTTCTTTTCTCTCCCGGGGACTTTACGATCACGATGCTTTGGATGTTTGTCAAACTGAAAGCAGCAGCAAAGCAAAATGCTTTTGTTTTCTTTTCTTTTTTTTGTGTCCACTTTGGATGAACATTCTCAGTGTAGCACCAGACAGAGTACAAAATAACTTCAATTATGGATTAAAAATAAAAATACAGCGTATGAAATCCCCCCCCCCTCCCTCCCCCTCCCCCAAAAATAAACACATAAACAAACCAATAAACAAACAAACACAGGTAGAAAGATCCAGAAAGGCACTTCAGTGTGACGGTGTCCAACCACAGATGCAGTAAAGGCTCATTGAAATGAAAGGTGAGTGAAGGTTTTAGATTTCTGTGAGTGTTTGTCAGACGCTTTAGAAAGTTTTCTTCCGCTGCAGTGAACACGTCCAACAGTTTAATGAGAATCCAGATGAAATGTGACGTCAACAGAACATCGTACACGCATTTTAGTTTAACAAGAGGAAGTCTTCAGCAAAACAAACAGGATTCATGAAGCCAGTCTGTGGATTTTAGTTCTCGTGTTTCTTCTCTCTTCAGGTTTTTAAAATTCTTTTTCACGTTTTGTGTTTTATGTCGTGTTTTTCTCACTTGATCAAATTTCCTTTGAGCTCTGTTTTTATATTTTCTCTTCTGTCACATTTAAGAAAAAATAACATTAATATGCAATTTTATTTAAAAAATAAACAAGACACGTAATCTCAGAGGACCTCAAAGAAGATCTGACGAAGTGTCGAAGCCACAAATTCTCATCATTTGGCCTTTTTTCTGTTAAAGGAGCCTGAAGGTGTGAATTCTGTTTAGTTTTGCTGAAAACAGCAGCGTCCGTCTCAAAACGAAGACGAAGCCACAGGAACAAAGTGGAGCCAGATGTGCTCGACAGTCTCCAGATGTTCCACCAAATGTGAGCATCAGAAGGTGGAAGAAACGTCTCGTCAGCCTTCAGGATCTGAGTTTGGTCGTCGTCGTCCCGGGAGTTTATCGGTGAGTCAGTTTCAGTTTCTGCTCCGAGGAAACAAAGAGCCGCCTGCAGATCTGAGCTCTCAGCTCGTTAGTCGACTCCTACGTCACAGAACAACTGATGGAAAAGCTCATTAAATACGACAGTTAGAATCAGAACTTCTACGGAACCAGATCAGGTTTTTGTTCTGTTCTTGTTGTTAACTCCATAAAAAGACAGAGTTCAGTTTGTTTGGATCAGAGTTGTGTTCAAGTCCAACAGAGGAATTTATATCAGAGCAGTTATGTGCAGGAACCAACAGCAGGAGACGAATCAATCTGATCCAGTTTGAATTGAGCCACGAATGACACCAATGAAGGTCCTTATTGTGAAGTACGACTGGAAATAAGGAATTAGAAAGACGACAGGCTGGAAGCTGTTCTGCCCACAAGATACCACGAGCTCTGGAAGATCGAGAAAGGTAGGAGGGTAGGTAGGTAGGAACATAGGTAGGTAGCTAGGTAGGAAGGTAGGTAGGTAGGGAGGTAGGAAGGAAGGAATGGAGAGAGGTAGGTAGGTAGGAAGGTAGGAGGGAACATCAGTAGGTATGAACATGGCTAGGTAGGAAGGATGGATTGTAGGAGGGAACGTAGGTAGGCAGGAATGTAAGAAGGAAGATAGGAAGGAACAAAGGGAGGTAGGTAGGAAGGAAGGAAGGAAGGAAGGAAGGAAGGAAGGAAGGAAGGTCCATTCTCACGACTTTATCTTTAGTTTCTACTCCGTACAACCTCCGTGTTCCTAAACACAAGTGAACCTTTTCCACTTCCAACAGACTTAAACTGATTTTTCACGAGGCTCACATGTGGCCCGTTTCAGCCCGTCTGCCTCTTCAGACAGGAGAACCGAACCGACCACCACGACCCACTGGAGGAACCAGACCTCCTTTAATGTGAACCTGGAAGGAAAACCTCATTCTCATCAGTCGGGGCTCTAAAACCAAACTGGTCACGACTTAGATGTCTCCTAAGTGCAACCTAAAGACAACCACAGATCAACGCTAATATAACATTTAAGCGTTGACGTGTACGACTGTGGCTGCCTGGTGCTGGTTTGTTTATCGGTGCTGAGTTTCCAGCAGTAGGTTCTACACTGGACGTATTTATGGAGCTTTTCCGTTGTTCTGTGAAGAACAAGCCGACTGCAGCTCTGAGTTCAGACCTAAACGTGGTTCTGTGTTCATCAGCGGACCTTCAGAGGACTTTGTGGAAACCAGCTGATGTTTCTACGGAGGCCTGCAGGGCTCACGCTGAGCCTCGTACAGGTTCATGAAGCCATTCATTGGCCCGTTTGCATATTTGATGTTTTTCCATCCATGTGGCCCCTGCAGGCCTCCGTAGCCGAGGCCACCGAACAGACTGGAGACAGCAGCTGGAAGTTTCTCCTTCAGCTTCTCCAGAAGCTTTGATGTGTCGCCCGTCCAGACTGTGGAGTGAAAGGTTCTGGTCCGACGCCCTCCGGATCCACTTGTGGTGCTGTTAAGGCGCTTTGGATCCGTTTACAGACATTTCCACACAAACACGCTGGAACACAGAAACAGGGCGGTTCAGTGACTCAGAACTTGTGTTGTGACTGTTGCTCATATATTTGATCACGTTTGTTGTCTTTTGACAGCTTCTCTGTGGTTGGAGCTGAGGTTACCTGCAGTCGTCTCCTCCTGTGCTGATCACGTATTTGTCGTCGTGGGAGAAGCGGATGTTGGTCACGTGAGCCGAGTGGCCGAGGTAGCGCTTGTGTTTGGCCTGAAACCGAACAGCGACACCAAAGTTCAGCGTCTCTCCTCTTATGTTCTCATTTCAAACCCGAGTCTGTTTTTGAAAACTGGAGTCGACCCAAACTAACGGCCCGTATTTATTCATCTGCGCTTGTCACAAAGATTGCTTTAGTGTTTCTGTTGTCGGATACTCACAAACTTGTCTGTGCAGGGGAAGTCGAACAGTTTGACCAATCCGAAGTCGTCGCCGGTGACGATGTTCATGCCGGCGTGAGACACACAGGCACAGTTCACGTCGGCTTTGTCGGCGTTTCGCGGCCAAATACCCAAAACTTCGTCTCCCAGGATGCTGAAGAAAGAAAACGAGTGTTGGTGACACTGATCATCTGAAACCATCTGAGGGTTCAGACTGTAATGAATCCAGAGGAGACTCACCTGGTCCACGTCGCCCAGGTGATCCTGTCGATGGCCGTCTGGTCGCTCACCAGCTTCCCTGAAGGAACCTCAAACACCTGCCGCTTGTAGGCTCCTGTGGACACCTGGACATGGACGAACACATGAAGCACCCTGAACATGGCAGCAACACGTGTGTTCGTATGTTCATGTAGATTAAACACATGAACCAGTCTGAGGATACATTTTGCTGCTGGGTACTCGATTACTTTATTCTTAGTGGAGGTTTTATTACAGCTAACTGCCTTTTTTTAAAAAATGTATAATTGTTTTTCATTCTAAGCAGTATTTCCTCGTGTACACTCTCTAACCAACCCCGCCTGATTGGATGAACTGCTGGTTCTGTCCTGACGTGTTTATGTGTTTCTTTGCAATATTTTAGATCAATTCTTGCTGTTTTATCTGATTTTGAATTTAAAAATATGCATCCAGACAGCTACATATATATATTTTAGGATTTATTGATCCACAGGTAGGACTCTGCCGTCTCATGTTGGACTTTTACAACCCAACATGCCACATGTTTTAAGGTTTCCGTGTTTTAAATGCATTATGAGGACATGGAAAGCTCATTAGATTCCCTTCATGTATGACCCGTGCTGTTCATGTCCACCACCCGGCGCCGTTCTGTGGATCAGTACCTGTATGTAGCAGCTGTCAGCAGAGAAGTCGAGCTGCAGGATGAAAGCAGGAATGTCGCTGCAGTAAACGAGTCGGTTCAGACTCGGTCCTCCGCTCACGTCGTACACGTCCACCGTGTTCTCCACAGAACCCACCGCCAACAGCCGCCGGTCCGGACTGAACCTGAACACAGCAGACTGAAGTATAATGACGCTGCAGTTGTTGCTCCTTCTCTGACTAACTGTGTTCTCCACAGTGCAGGAAAATCACATCATTATGGATCTAATAACAATCCTACAGTAACTCAGACTCCTGACAGTTTTGTCAGAGGCGCCTGGATTCTCTTGTGCTGATCAGTTGTCGTATTTCTGTTTGGGTCAGATCCTACCGGAGGTCCTGGACGGCGGCGCTGCGATCTCGTTTCTTCGCCCACATCTTGAGCGAGTTGGCGAGGAGGAGGAGGAACTCGCCGTTCTTCATCCCGACCGCCAGCATCTCCCCGTCTGCGCTGTAGCTCACACAGCGAGCGGCGTGACCCACACACACTTTGTTCAGCAGTTTCTAGGACAAAGACAAAAGAAGATTTAAAAACGAGACCCTGGATATTGTCTTGTTCTAATGCTTCCAGTCAAACTCTGCTCATGACACATGAACAGTCAGAACGCGTTCAGGCGCCTTCAACTTGTTTAAACATTTGGTTTAAAACATGTTTTCACTTGCAGAAGGTGAGGCCAGCGGCTGTAGTTCAGGAGCTCCAGATCCAGAGACATCCACAGAGAGAGCAGAACTTTTAAGGTTTTAGCAACTGACTACACGACAACATATTGACCTATACCAGCATGTTTATTTCACTTTTTTAAACGACATGCTATACTATGACGTCTTTAGCGACTTTTTGACGACATGCTATACTATGACGTTTTTGACGTGATGGCGTCCATGCAGGTAAACTCAGGTGTTCCTGTGCCGTCACCTTGTCCGTGAGGTCCCACAGCCTGATGGTGGCGTCGTCGCTGGCCGTGATGCAGACCTCTTTGGCCGGATGAGCCGTCAGACCCCAGATCCCTCCCCGGGCGTGGCTGTCCAGCAGCAGGTTGGAGGCGGCGTTCTTCTCCCCGACCTCGATGATCTCGCCGTCCTTCGTCCCCACCAGGATCTTACCCTGAGGAGGAGGAGGAGGAGCTGGTGTGATGAAGAGGACACTGGGAGGAGGAGGAGGTGGAGGATGGAGGGATGAACTTAAACCTTTCACCTTCCCCCTGCAGACGGATCGGACACACTCGACCTGCTGGCCCGTCTCCAGCTGGAAGGCCCGACATCGCTTCATCTCCTGATCCCAGAGCTTCACCGCTCCGCCTTCCTTGGTCCTGAAACAGAACCACAGCTCAGTACCTGAAACAGAACCACAGCTCAGTACCTGAAACAGAACCACAGCTCAGTACCTGCTGATAAAACCTGCAAAGTACGTTTCTGTTGATGCACGAGTTCAGTCCAGCTCTTGTTTTTTTGAACAACATACGATTAACAACATTTTGTCCTGTGATGTTTTGTAGAGACATAATATACCAGGACGTTTTTTTTGAAAGATAATAAACTCTGAGTTTTTTTTGAACGATAGACGATACTCAGTGACAAGATCATGGTGTTATTAATCGACGTGGACTCACGGCCTCTCCTTGCCGCCGGTGACGATGAGCCCGTCCCTCAGCGTGGTGTACATGGTGAACACCGGGCCGGTGTGAGCCTTCGCCACCACCCTCAGCAGGAAGTGATCTCGCCACACGTACACGTCGCCGTTGATGGCGCCCGTGAACGTCAGGTTGTTCTGGAAACACACAGTACCAAAGAAATCACTGAACTGAGCTCGGTTTAGCGGTTCTGAGCAACTCTTAGTTTGATTCGTGTCCCTTTGTGTTCGTTTTGTGTCATTCGTGGTGGTTTCAGTGTCTCTGGTCAGTTTGGAAGAAAAGCTCCAGAGGAAATAAAGCTCAGACGTTTTTTACATTTTGTCTCTCAGAAGTGAACCCATGAAGGAACATTTTCTCTGAATTAGACCATTTATCAGAGCAAGAACCTGCAAACACTGAGAGAAAAGTTCTCTAATTGTCCTTGAACTACTCGTGTTGCAAAAAATATCAAAAACACTTTATTCATCTCCAATTTTTAAAAATCACCAAAGACAAACTCTTCTAACGAGATTCTGCAAAAAACAAAAAGTTCTGAGCCCAACCGAGGAGCCGTGACTGGATCTGCTGAGACCAACAGTCGCATCACGAAAATTCAGAGTTTTCAGCTGAACTGCAGGATGTGTTGAAGGAGGAAACATGTAAGTAAAAAATGTAAATAGTTTAATATTCATCGTGTTTTTTTCTTCCAATGTTGGTGACACCTGTAGGCGTTTGATAAAATGTTGGACATGTTGATTTTGGGGTTTTTTGTACTTTTTGTAAAATAAAAAAATGACAGAAATTAAACTTTTTTTCTTGTCTTACATGATTTACGGCATTAAAACGTTCAGTAGTTCTCTGTACTGCTGCCTTTAGTGGTTCTGCTTCCATCGAGGTGCAGGACTTTACAGTGAGTAAAGAAAACGGCCAGAACTCAGCGGCGTCATTGAACTCACCGCTCCGAAGGCGACCGACAGCATGGTCTGCATGCGGCCGTCCTCCACCGTTCCCACCACGCCCTTCTTGTACATCAGCGAGCCGCCGGCCAGCGTCCAGAACTTCACGTGTTTGATTCCCACCGACACGAACTGAGAGTCCGAGTCGGGACGAAACTCCACCACGAAGATCCGGTCGGGATGTCCGGCTTTGCTGCAGACTCTGGATCCTGCAGAGGAGACGCAGAGGAGTTCTGACATTTGAGATGTCTAGAATATTTTATTTAGTCGTATTTCCTGTAATTTGTTGTTTTTTTCCATTAAATTAATTATTATTTAGATTTATTGAAAACAACTGATCCATAAAACACACGTTTCTTAGACATTTTAATAATATTTTATTTATGTTTCATGAATATTTTAACAACATTTTCTTTGTTAGTTCAATCTCATATCATTCATTTAACACTGGACACATCCTCATAGTGCTTTAATACACATTATTGATTTTTTATTCATTTTTGTGGCATATTTTAATAATTCAACAATGTTTGGAGACATTATTAATATGCCCAGGATTTTTTAAAATCATGTATGTTATTATTATTATTTTTATATTTTATGAACAATATTTCAGATAGTTATTAATTACATTTTTTTAGACATTTTTAGTAAATGTTCTATATTTTATTAATATTTTAACTCAATGTTCATAATTTAGAATTTTTAAAATAATATTTTAATCCATTTTATTGACACTTCATAAAGCAAACTTTAAAGATATTTTTACTTTATTTTTACTTTTTTTTTTAGATTTACATTTTTGTAGCATATTTTAATACATTTTCAGACAATGAAATATTAAATTTATTATATGTTATGTTCAGTTTTTAAGTAGCAATTACATTAAATTTGTAAAACACACATTTAAAAAATATTTTATTAATATTTGTAAAACACACATTTAAAAAATATTTTATTAATATTTCTAAGCCATTTTAAAAGTTTTTAAACTGAAAAAGAACTCAGAATTCCTTTTTTTTTTTTTATTACACAATATTAATATTTTCTGACATTTTTGAGGCGTATTCTAATATTTTTCTCATATTGTTTAAGGATTTGATTCATATTTTACAGACATGTGTATTTATTTTTTCCAGATGCTCCCATAATTTCTACAATGAATGAATAAAACACACCGTTAATTCATATATAAACTGTTTTTTGGACTTTTGAAACGTTTCCCAGACTTTCAAACATATAAAAGTTCATTTCAGGCTGTTAGAATATATTATTCAGACTTTTGTAAGGAAGTTAATGTTGGGGTGTGTCTGACTGTCTGTGGCGGGTCGGACCTTCCTGCCAGCGCCACACGGTGATGGTGTGTTCAGGCTCGACTCCGACCGACAGCAGCAGCTTCCCGGTGGCGCTGAAGTTCACGTAGCTGACGCCTTTGGTGTGCGGGCAGCGGAGGATGGACAGCGTCTGTTTGCTCATCGCGTCCCAGACGTGGATGGACGGAGTCGTACCTGCCGGGAGGCGACGACGTAAGGTCAGCTTTTATCGACGTCAACGAGCCACGAGAAGAAACTAGGAGGAGCTCAGAGGGAGGAAACAGCAAACAGAGCAGGAGGAGGATCAGCCGGCAAACACCCCGAGAACCAGAACAAGAGACCCGAAACCCTCGACACGGTCCCTGCTTCTGCACATCCAGTCTGTTCTTAGGCTAGTTTATCTTATTAAATCTGAACCTGATGATCTGATTCTTTACTGATGTTTTATTTTGCAGCTAATTCCCTGAAAACTTTACTCAGAGTTTCTCAAAAACATCTGCTGATATTTGGCTGTAAATGAAATCATATTTGTCGTTAAAGTCCAGTTTGGCACTAAACACAAGGAGGTAAAGTCAGTCGCTGCAGTTATCAAACAAAACAACGAAGTGAAAAACTTCATCGTTCACAAACTGACGTCAGAGTTCATCAGGAGGAGACAAACAGAACGTCTGAGCAGGAGACGAGCAGCTGGACCAGCATGCAGCAGGAACGTTAGAGGAACATTTACCAAACGGATCAGAAACGTGCAGCAGGTTAGAGTCAGTCACATGAAGAATTCATGGGTTTTAATCTTGAACAGATCCTGGCGTCAGTTTACCAACGAGTTCCACTTTAAAACGGAATTTTATCTTTTTTTTGTTCAGTTTTCTTCTAAAAACTCAAACACAACAAACTCTCAGTTTGACTTTAAACCTTTCAGAAGGTTCTGAAAATCAAAAAGTGCTTTTATGGGGCCTGTTTTTCACAGAAATAAACTTTCTGTGTGTTTGATGACTGAACCTCATCCATCTGCAAACTGTCTGGAAAATATTCTGAACTTCTCCAAACAATGTGAGAAAAATATTAAAAAACATATGCCTCAAAAATGTCAAAAAAATACAGATAAAATGTAAGAAAAACTTAAATAATAATAATAAAATATCAAAATAATAAAATGTTTAAAAATGTGTTTTACACTTTGAATAAAACATTTGAAAAATGTCATAAAATCTTCATGTGTTCTTAGAAAAATAACAAACAAATAAAAAAAATAAATGTATAAAAACTGTGTGTAAAATAGAAAAAAATTCTACATATATTCTTAGAAAAAACTAAGCCCCAAAAAATGCACAAAAATATTGATAACAAGTGAAGAAAATAAAAAAGCAAGTCGTAAATGTGCATTAATTGTCTTAAAATTGCCAGAAAACTGATAATAAAACACCTAAAAACACACGAGCTTCACACATCGGTTGTTCCTAATAACTGCAGCACTTCGTCCGTTCGTCTCATATTTAGTGCAGAACCGGGAGATAATTTAATAATTTACAGGTAAACAGCAGCTAACTCTTTAAGAAACTTTGAGGGAACGTTGGAGGAAAATCAGATAAATAATTTGTTAAAGTGAACTAAAGTTAAATTGTAGAGTTTGAATCAGGTGCCGGGAACATTTTAATCGATTTCTGCTTGAATATAGAAAAATATCCGACTTTAGCAACGCGTTCTGATCTGTGCCCATATATCAGAACCTGAGTGAGCCCGTGAAGGTTCTGCAGCTCGTCTCTGGGTCTCGGGGTGCTGGCAGAGATGGAAGCGGCGGCGCGACTGGTTTTTATTTTACCTGGAGCTTCGCTGACGTCACCTGAAGGGTTGTGAGAGCGACGGTGACAAATGAGGGCCAGCCAAAAAACACAAACACACAAAAACGACAACGAAAGAAGACATGAAAACCTGCAGCGAGTCGATTCAGACAAAAGCAGAAACAGGACAGAGCGGGAGCATCCTCACGGTCTGGTTAAACCACTATCTGGTCTTTAATCTGTGCTTTGTGTCCCTTTGTTCCTGATTTATTATTTGTTTTAGCTGATCTTTAATATCTTCTGTTGCTTTATCGATCTGAAAAACAAAAACAATCAGAAGATCAGTTTCAGCTCCACCTGTGTTTCCTGTTGGACGGTTTCACGTCTAAAAATCTGATTTCATAAGTTCTGTTCATAGTTTAAGAGGCTGTCAGAGACAAACCGTGGAGGAAAAAGTCCAACTTTCATCTTTGAGGTCCTCAAATTTGTACTTTAAGTTTATAATCGGATTAAATGTTTTCAGTTACGTTTCACCAGACCTTCTTTTTACATTATTAATTCTCTGATCCCCAAAACCCAGCAGCAGTCGTCTTTAAAGCTTTGCCAAAATTACACTATTTATCAAAGCAGAAACAATCATCGTATTTTGAACTGTTTGATGCTCATTCGTTTGGGAAAAATCCTGATATTTCATTAGAATCCCTTTATTCTACATGTCTCGTTTAAAAATTAGCCAAAAATCGACCGTTCACTTTAACCACATTCTGTAAAAAACAAAAAATTCTGCCCTCCTCGGCACAACCGTGAAGACATCAAGGACTTGGCTGTGACCAACAGTCTGGTGACAAAAATTCAGCAAAGTTTTCAGCTGAACTGCAGGCAGAGCAGGGAGGAGACGATTATAATTAAAAATCTTTACCGTAATGTCTGGACTAGAAGCTGCTACTTCTTTCACACGGTTTGAACGCTGCGGCTTAAACAACGATGCGGCTAATTTATGGATTTTTATGAATTTGCCTCGAGACCAAAGCGACATTATGTGTACACACCTGGTTTTCTTTTTAGAGTTAGTGGGTGGGGCTTATATTCAGGTGCGCTCATAGTCTGGGGTTTACGGTACATATCTTTAGCGTGTAGAACCACCGTTTCTCGCAGTGCTGTCATATCTGTTCTATAATTTGTGTCTCTCTCTCCTTCTGGTCCTGGTTGTTCTGTTTCCATACAGGTGCAGGACTTTATAAAGTGAGTAAAGATGAGTTCCGAGTTCTAAAACTGGACCCAGATGTTCTGTCAGCAGGAACACGGTGAAGCAGGCGGTTAAACAGGAAGCAGAGGAGAGAGAAGCAGGACTGACGAGTTAGTGGAGACACCGACATGCTGGACGGACGGCGGCGGACGACGTACCGATCTGTCCGGTGGCGATGATGTTCTTGTACTTGGGGTGCTGGTTGACGGTCAGACTCAGGATGTCGTCGGTGTGCTCCAGGTAGAAGCTCTGGGTTCCTGCAGCACACAGACACACGTGAACGCACCTGTCAGGTGATCAGGCCGCCTCCACCGTCACCGCGTGGACGTTACAGCAGTAATAATAAGAAACTAGATTCATGAGCCTCTCAGGTTAGGGTTAGGGCTGTGTGGCGTCGCCGTGGTTACCGGTGCTGAGGCTGTGGACGATGGCGGTGGCGGCGGTGTGGTAGACGATCTCGGCGCCGTCGTTGAGGTAGTGCAGGTTGTTCCGACAGTCGAAGCCTCGGAAACCAAACACGTGGTCCAATATCAGGTCCTACAGGAGGACAGAGGAGGTCAG